CCCCAAAACCCCAAAACCCCAAAACCCCAAAACCCCATGAATCAACTTCGATTGAAATTAGAAATGAAAAGAGATAGTTAAATTAGCAGTAATAACAACAATAAATTAATGATTCGTAAGTTCCTCAAGACAGAATTCAAATTCAAAATTTAAATACCCCAAATATCGATTACTCCCTGATATTTTAGTCAAACTAAATCAGCCTTGAAAACAGTGGATTACAATAGTAGCCAATAAAAGAATAAAATTTGGATAGTAAAGAAAATAATAATTTGAATGATTTGAATTTGCTATAAAAATACTAGAAGGGAGATGTCAGTGAAGATATTAGAGATCACATTAATTTTGAGTAACTTGGTCCAATCATAGAAGAGGAGCTTAAAAATCAGAAAGATTAATAGGAATTTGATTAAAAAATGAAATAATCAGATACAATTGATAATGAATTAAATGAAAACTAGCATCAGTCACTATCTATGCTGCTATAAGTTAACAATAATGATATTAAGGACTCGCTAGAATGCACATAAAAATCAAAGATTCAGAATAAAGACTAGCTTTTTACAGACAGAGGTTATACTTAAGAAGAAGGCTAGCTAGATATAAAATTGCAAATAAAATTTTGAAAATAAGGACTCTCAGTTTAATGAAGAAGTAGAAAAAGATGAGGACGAAGAGATGCTGGATGACTTTATTGCCAGTGATGAAAATATAAACGACTTAGTAATAAATTACTCAGAAAATAAGGTTAGTTAGAATAAAGAGGAAGGTAGACACCTAGGCGAGATCACAGTTGCGAATAAATCCAACTTAATGAGCTAAATTTAGAACCTGTAAAGTTAAATTGAAGCTTTTAAATAGATTAATTTCTCTTACTCAGGTAAGTTGAATTTTATTTATGTTCTTTTATTCGAGAACTTATCGAATTGCATTTCGAGTTTATTGATTAATTAAATATAGAAAAAAATAGAGAATATTCGATACCTTAGAATAAGAAGCGAATTAAAGATATTTTTAAGAAGTGGCAAAGATATACGATTATTAGAAATTTAGAAAAAAAATTGAAACTGGGGACTAAGGATTTAAAAAAATACTTGCATAGTTGGGACGGAAAGGAAAGTGAAAAAATCGCTCCTATAAATGCATTTCCTGGATTGAATCCTTATTAGTATATAAGTGGAAGCTACAATTTCGCTAAATATTGATTAAATTCTTAAATCTTTAAGTTTTAATATTTATTAGATTTTTTATTATTGCTGAAGTTAATTAGTAGATCTATCTGGCTAAATCAACTTCATA